TGGCCTCCTTCTTGGCAATAGAGGACCTGTCAGCAGAAGCAGACTTCCCCGGATACTTTGAGGAGCTACGAACTACACTCACTGAGGTTTGGCTTTATTTGGATTAAGGTCTATTCTGTCAGACATTTTATGCTTATTCCACTAAACCTCTTAGACACTTATGTTCATCTTTGCCTAAAGAATGATTGTTATGCTTATAATGGCATCTTGTGTTAAAATCTTTAGTCAATGCTGAGAGAAGTCAAGTTGCACATGAAAGGTTCAATCTTTGTCAAAAAGGAGAACATAATGCATCTAGTTTGTGTTGCATGTGAAGGACTTGAATATACTTTACTACCCTAATGCATCAAATGCTGTTGTAATAACATGCATGAGCTCTGTTTAGTTTATCATGAATGTATTGCAGCCATGAGCTGTTTGTAAAGTACACCAGAAATATGTTTTTGCTTCAGTAGTGTATGAACGTTGGGTTTTATCTATCTGTATGTTAGGTGGATGAGTTCCACTCTGTCCATCAGAAGTTAACTGCAGCTATGGCCGACCACTCCAACTACATCAGGAACATGCTGGTGCAAGCAGAGGATGCTCGCCTTATGGGTGACATGTGAGTTACCACAAAATTCATAAAGTACAACTTAATTCAGTGACAGTATATTAAACTGGTCTCATTCATCCATGTATGTACAAAATAGGCAGCACATGGACAATACGTTAAACTCTCTATCATAGACCTTTTCAGCAGACATATTGACATGTCATTGTGGAAAAATTGTACAAGTGTAAAATTGTGTGTAGAGTAACATTAATAATGGCCTCATTCTGTTGAGCCAACTCCAGAGCCCTGGCATTATGCATGGCTTTCTGGAACACTTAACAGAAAAGAGCCATCATTAATGTTAAGTTCCACCTGTGCTAATCTGCTGTATTGCAAAAAGTTCTGAATTAAAATAGTGTTTGTATCAAAAAACATTAAGAACATAAACAGTATATTTTACTATAGATTAATCTATTTTATTTTATTTTTTTCACCCTCTTTTTCCCACGTCTTCCCTTTTTCTCTGCATCCTGTAGGACAACTATGAAGAAGCGTTACAGAGAGCTGTATGATCTAAACAGGGATCTCATCAACGAGTATAAGATTCGCTCTAACAACCACAATGCCCTACTGGCCTGCCTCAAGTCTGTCAACCAGGCCATACAGCGGGCTGGTAGACTCCGAGGTGGGCCAATGTGTGGGAATGTGTGTGCAAATGTCCAGTGACATTACAGAAAGCAGATTAATTATGTTTGTTTCAAACATCTACTTAACCTTGTGTGTAACATGTGTGAGTCAGTTAAATGTTTTACATCATATTTGAGTGTGGCTGGAACTACACCGTAACTACCTGACTGGAACGTCTTCTGTTGGTATTTCTGGCAGCATACAGCATGTCTGTCTCCTCCTAATCTCTCTCTGTCTCTTTCCATCCTTCTCTTCAGTGGGTAAGCCCAAGAACCAAGTGATCTCTGCCTGCCGAGATGCCATCAAAAGCAATAACGTGAACTCGCTCTTCAGGATCATGAGAGCTGGCACTGCGTCCTCCTGAGGGTGGATGGAAGGAGGGAGGGACGGACGCAGAAATGGACCAATAGATTGAAATAGAGAGGGACGCTCATAAGCACAACTGTACTGTATCTGTTTCAAGCATACCACCAGCAAGGATGAGTCTGGGACAATAAATTTGTGTGGACTTAAAAGCAGAAGACACTAGGACTCTGGAATGGGGACACTGTTGTAGCCTTAATCCATCTTTTTCCATGACTTATTTTTAAGCAACAGCCTGGCAGCAACATTGGGACCAGCTCCTTGAAACTTTAAATTCTGCAAGCTCAGAAATAAAAAAAAGTGCTGACCACAGGCTTAGCGCACTGCTCAAAATGTCATCCATCTCAGTGTTGCTCTGTGGCCGTTTGGAGGAGCTGATTTTGTGCAGTCCACCTTAGCTAGACGAGTCAAAGTTAGCGTAGGAGTGACACAACTGTTTAGAGAGTTCAGCTGGACCAAAACAGGAAACGGAGACTTTGACCAAACTGTTTCTCAAAAGGAATGGAGCAGATGGTCTGAGTACAATGATGCTTTAGAATAATGAATTCCCTGATCTAAAAGGATTTTTTTCATCAGTTACACACTCGCATTATACTATCTGAGGGCATCTTTCATTAAGAATAAAGAGAGTTAAGCATGATGTTCATTGAATGTACTACAGGTGGTCCAGGTGATGTCACACAATTGTTTAAGAAATTTTTAAATTTCAGAAAAGTCCTCCCGACCGTCTGTTTCCACCAAGAAAATGACGACATGCTGGACTGGCACCTAGACTGTTTAATTCAGCTGACACAGTGATGTTTAGAGAGAGCAGCTGGAGCGAGACAGAGCAGCTTTCTAGGGCGTTGCGCCATTGACATCACTGGTGGACCTGACAGTTCTGTGAGACAGCTCACTCAGACTCAGGTCTCTGCTTCCAGCTGTTGTGTATTTGTGTGGTGTTTGTAGCCAAAGAAAACTATTTTAAATTAATGAATATCACAGAGGACCAATGATGTGTGTTTAACTTGTTTACCTTTTGTAGCCTAGATTGTACACAGATTGCAAATGTAATGATGTTGTGGCAGAAAGTATTATTAAATTAACTTATGTTTTAAAAGTTTGTGTTACTGTTGACTTGGTTGCAGTGTGATAGGGGAAGAATTTCCTTCTCAGACAAGCTGATTTACTCAGCTGTTCAGTCTGAGTGTACCTCTGGTTGGATTTGAATGTGGAAAGTAGAATTAGTATGTATAAAAACAGTGAGGCCAGTCTTCTTCTTAAAAGAACAGCCAAACATTTTAGTCTTTTTTTCATATCTTCCTTTGTCTAATGGTCTAACTTTAGCAAACGTACAGCCAAGTGTCCACAAAGCCAACAAGTCATGTAGGTGTGACATATCTTAAAAGACATTGTAGACACTGGAAAGTTGTTTCAAATTGTATTCTTACTCACTGCTGAGCATCTCTACTGCTGCTGTTGAAGGTTTAGTGCTTTGCTCACTTCATCTGTTGTATTTGTATTTGATGACCACATTTTAAGTGAATAGGGAAAGTGAAGTGGTCTCAGACTTTTAGACCCACCTCTGTCTGTCTGTCTGTCTGTCTGTCTGTCTGTCTGTCTGTCTGTCTGTCTGTCTGTCTGTCTGTGAGCTGTATACTATATATCACCTCTGGACTTGCCCTCTTCATCATCTCATGTCACCTCTTTCATCTTCTTCTTGACTTTTTTGTCACATTGGTTTCCTCTCTTCTCTTTTCTTTCTTTCTCAAGTGTCACTGAGTAAGACCCAGAATCTGTTCCACCTCTTGGGACATTGTAGCTGGATGTGATCTCTGAATCCCTTGTAGGAACAAACAGGACAAAGTCATGACTCATGTAATGAGGTTTACTCCACACTTTTTTTTTTTTTTAAATTTATTCTTTTTTTCCTTTCTTCCTTTTCCATCTTCCCTAGTTGCTGTGTTGGCATCTGGCTTGCTCAGCTCCAGTTTAAATCACGTGATCAGGTTAAAAGAAAAAAAAATTAAGATGCTGCATTCAAGTGCTTCTCGTAGACTCCTTCTTCTGGCGACTGTCATAAATTATCACGTAGCCTATTCAAGTATGGACGTTTGATGTTTGGTGATGACTTTATTGATGATTCAGGTTCATGTAAGTTGAGTGGTGCAAGATCTAAAAATTAACACAGCCCACCCAGGTGTAGGCTATGCTCGCATATTTGCCGTTGTCAACCAGACAACTTGTAGTCGCGGTATTTCCTACAGCACGTTAAGGCAACATGAGCGGAGACACTCGTAAAGACGAGCAGATATTTAAGAGTTTGTGTCTTATCCTCTGTCCTCCTTCACGGCACACATACTCATGAATGCAGCACCGTGAATGCTCTCTCTTCTTTTCTCACTGGGTCTTTTTCTGTGAAAACTTTGGAGGTCAGTTTCCTTTGTGTGTTAGTTGTTTCAGTGCAAAGAGAAGTGAGGAGCCGTCCGCAGCACAGATGTTTTCAGTTTGACCTGCTCCTCCGTCTCTGTCTGGTAAGTTTTCAATGACTCGAATCGTTTCTTGCACGTTAGGATGTTACATCCGGACAGATTCGTTGTTTATCAGGTATATCATGCAGCATATAAAATCTTTCCTGCATGCAGCAGTTTGCGGATTATTCCACACGGACCACATTTGACCAAGCTTGTCTGGAATTCGCGCTCTTTGACTGACAGTCCCTCACATATAAGAAGACGGTTTTCTGTATTGTCAGCACCATTTAGTGACGTTTTCTCTAAATGACATGAATGTTGGGACACAGTGTTCTTTGAAAAAGTTGGTGCCCTCATGTTCACTTACATAAGACACAGACACTCCCCCTCCTGACCAGAGTAGTGAAGCCATGGGGAATTTGGGATGGGAATCGAGAATACAGCCACACATTGCCCTCAGCAAACAATAATATATTGTTTATGCATTTACATCTTGTAAGGTACTGGGGAGAAAATAATCACAGTAATCACATGGAAAAAAAGTCTGCTGGATTGATTTATGCATTAGACAAGATAAGCAAGGCCTTTGCATTCAGAGTTTAGACATCCAGGGCAGTTTCTCCTTATTAAAATATCTAAATAATGGGCCAAGGGACAGGTAATGACACACTTTGCAACTTTGTCCTGTTGTTGTGCAGGTGCCTGAGGACAAGGGGCAGATGGAGACACAGACAATGGACCTACATCCAGCCATATGAGCGATATGCACTCTATGCCAAGTCAATCTAAGTTGTTCCTGCATTAGTCCTGACTGCTGCCTGAAAAGCAGTATGAACTGTAGCATCCCCTTTCCAATGCATTCCTGTGCAATACTTAACTGAGGTCAGTGTCTATAGAAGATGCTGAGGAAGATGGTGACGATGCGGAGGATTCTCCATGTGAAGGGAGATGTGATGTGCACGATGCTGCTGCTGGTTCTGTTCTGTCTGCTGCTCTATGCTCGCCAGGCAAGGATGGAAAATCACCTATTTTTGTGTCACGATTTCTTTATGATACAGACCTCTTTCACTTACCATGTCCCATCTCACCTGCTCCCATGCTTCCAGGTCGTCCTCTCCTCTGGGTGGGACAGACCTGTGTGGAAGCTGGAGATCCACGGCTCAACCAGCTCCAGTCGGACACTGCTGGGGACCAGTGGAGCCAAAGTGGGCCAGGAGTCTCCAGGGGTATGACCTGTTCTAATTCATGTGTATGTGTTCGTATGTAGGTATCACAATCAAAGTAGCTTTATTCACGAAGTATAATCAATGCATTAAAAATTTGAAACCAGCAATGTTTCTGAATGTCCGGTTCTTGAGCTTCATTTGAGATTTTTGTTGCACTTTATTTGGACAGTCTGCCCACAGAGAGTTTACAGAGTATTTATAACAATTCACTAATTTCTTAATGTTCAACAATGTGTATGCAAATATTCAACAGTTGAATTGTTGAATATAAACTTAATAACGTGTTGAAATGTTACAAATACTCTGTAAACTCTCTGCAGGAGGACTATCCAAATAAAGTGTTACCAAGATTTTTACTTGGGTCGGCAAGAGGTCAATATAAAAAAAAAAAAAACATATTAAAAAACATAATAATTGGATGAGAATTCTGCATATAGCTACTACTGTATATTGAGATTGAGATTAATGATTAATATATTTGTAGGCTCTTAAATATTTCAGTGGATCAAAGTGGTGGACTGACAGACCAACAGACTGACTTTGCCATTTATAGAGCATACAGTAAACATTCATAAATATCCTGATGATACATAAAGTAACTTTAGCCTGGTTTGAAGAGACAGGAGGGAACAGGTGCAGTGGGAGGGGAAGTTGATGAAGGACTGTGATGGAGGATGTGAGGGAGGATCAGTGTGATAAAAATGACATGGATGTGATGCTGTTTGTTCTCACAGAGAGACAATATTTTCACATACTGTTTACTGCAGGGCTAAAATCCACAAGCAGGATCAGAGCACCGAGCAGTATGAATATTCATACTGCAAAAGGAAGAGTGTGTCAGTGTATGTACACACAGTATGCTTGTATTTCTTTTTGTGTGAATGTCTGTACTGCATCACAGTGTCCAGTTGTCACTTAGAAAATCTGATGAAATTGAGTTGATGAATTTATTATATGCCCATTAACGCGACATTTACTTGTTATAATTAATGTCCTATGTCTTCGGTCTTACATAATTTCTCCCAATTCAGTTCCCACCCAGCCCTCCAGAGCCAGAGCTGCCTGCCTGTAAGTCCCAGTCCAAATCAAAACCACCTCCGGCCAAATCCAAACCTCAGGTCAAATCTAAGGGGAAATCCAAGTCGCGACGGAAGAATGCTGTGCCGACCAAGGCTGCTGGAAATCCTCTGCCCACGATGCCACCATTTGACTTTGAGAGTTACTTGCGGGAAAAGGACAACCGAAACTTTAATCTGCTCATAGACCAGCCGGAGAAATGTCACCTCAGAGGAGCAGAGGAGCAAGAGGGAGGAAGAGGAGATAAAGAGTCTATTACTGCGCCCTATATGCTTATTGCAGTGAAATCTATTGCTGCAGATTTTGATAAGCGTCAGGTAATTCATGCCAAATTGTATTGTTGCCACATGTCTGCTCGATGTGTAAATTGTTGGCTAACGTGCTGCCCCGAATGGGCAAAATAAAAAACAATAGAGGGTTAACTCTTACTACTAGTCAGTTTCTTCTCCCTTTCTTACCTTCTGTTAGGTGGTACGTCGGACATGGGGTAAGGAGGGACAGTTCCAAAATGGCGTGTCCATTCGTACGGTTTTCCTGCTTGGGGTTCCCAAGAATCGAAGTGCTCTTCCTCTGTGGGATCGGCTCCTGGCCTACGAGAGTCAGACCTTTCGGGATATCCTGCTTTGGGACTTTGAAGACACTTTCTTCAACCTGACGCTGAAGGAAACACATTTTCTGAAATGGGTTAACAGCAGCTGTCCTTATGTCAAGTCAGTGCTTACAAAAATTGCACTGAATCAAGAGTTTATCTGACTCTTAGCCTGCGACTCATACCTGATGCTTTTTCTATTTTCTTTTGTCGTACAGGTTCATCTTCAAGGGTGATGCTGATGTGTATGTGAATGTGGAGAACATATTAGAGATGTTGCAAGGTCAAAAGCCAGATGAGGATCTGTTTGTCGGTGACATTATTATCCATGCTAAACCCATTCGCCGACGCAGTTCCAAGTACTATGTACCGGAGTTTGTGTATGGAGGGGGTTTGTACCCGAATTATGCTGGGGGAGGAGGGTTTGTCATGTCGGGACACACAGCTCGGAAACTTAGCTCTGCATGTCAACAGGTATTTCAAAATCACAAAAAGAAGTTTTAGCATTTTTATACATAAATCTACTTTTAGAGTTCTTTGAACCACAATGATGTTTTGTCTTCTTCTAGGTGGAGTTGTTCCCCATTGATGATGTCTTTCTGGGAATGTGCCTCCAGCTGATTGGCGTCAAACCGTCACGCCACCAGGGCTTTCGGACCTTCGGAATTCCCCGACCGTCTGCAGCGCCCCACCTTCAGACCTTTGACCCCTGTTTCTACCAAGAACTCATGGTTGTTCACAGCCTCAGTGTCCCACAGATCTGGCTCATGTGGAACCTCCTGCATGACCCCAAACTGAGCTGCCACAACAGGACCAGCCTGACATCCTGGCCCTTTAAGTGGAGGGGGAGGACGGAAGAGGAGGCAGGAGAAGAGACGGACTACGGTGAGAAGCGGGTATTTATCATGCATTAGGGACCTTCTGCAGGGACGAGTGGGATCTGCAACAGCCCTAGTGAGTACAAAGTAGTTATAGCGGGGGATCAGTGGCCAACTTGAAAGGACTGTGATGTGTTCAAAAGCACGGTTGAGTCATAGGAGCATTTATCCAAGCTGGCAGATCAACTTGGGGGGAAATGAATTGGCAAACATGCTTCAGATTTTTCAGTGAGGAATCCTAGAGAGAATTTAGGCTTTTTACCATCAGAGCCCCATCTGTCTGTTCGCATGGGGCAAGATTTTGATTAGCAAAGACGACTGTGTGATGAGTTGAATCTCTGCACTTTTGAATGTGTAATCTTACCAATGTGTTGTGTTACAAACAGAGACACCTTAAGATTGACGAGGACGACGTAACTTAATGTGGGTAGCTGGTTTAACCCCATCCAAATGTGAATGCAACCGTTTGTGTGAGACCACAACAATGTTAATAGCCTGACTTTCATTGGACTGTGTCGACAGCCAAGACTGAAAGTGGCTGTAAGCACTGAGAAAACAGCAGAGACTTTTTTGTGTTCTGATGTGAATCACTTGCAGAGATGCTCCTCTCCTCCTTGTTATGCTGGATAGAAGCACAAATGGACGGTCGCATTATCTGTTCCCTGGAGGAACAACAAATGAAACCTAAATGGAAACCAGCTGCACAGTGGGAACCAGCTGGGACCATAGTACACAGTCACACATGCGCGCCAAACCTCTGCTGAATGTTTCTGAGGCGTGTGTACTTTCATGTGAACACTTTAGTTATTACTATAATTATGATGATTTGCATACTGTAATTATATATTTGAACTCTTTATATCTTTACCCTCTTCTGCTCAAAATGTTCAGTGTTAAAAATGCTGCAGGAGTGATTTATAATCATCTTAGTGATGATCACTTTAGTCACTGTGTCAGAGGGTCATTATCAGTGGCAGTGGAAGAGCAAACACATGTTATGGCTAAGACACTGAATTTAACAAGTGATACCTGAACAAAATGGCTGCAAGTTTGTGTTCACACATCATCCAAAAGTCTTTTATTGTTAGTTCTGTTGTGGCTCATCTGAATGCATGCACGCTACTATAGTCTGTGGTGTAAACACACAGTAGATGTGGTCAGTGTGGGCAGCTGAGTTTCAGTTCTGGAACACTGAATGTTTTAATTAAATTTTTTTTTTTGGATAATGTAAATGAAGTGATCTTTACTTTACTGCTTCATTTGTCAAAGCGAAAGTTTAGATTTCAACTTTAATAGTTTAAGACAGTCTCTGTCTTTGTGACTAATAATAATATAATTCTGCCAGGTGTTGATACAAAACAGATGCTGAGATCTGGCTCCTGTCTGAAGTCAAGTCAAACGTGCAGCATAAACTTGAGTTTCAAGAAATAAAAACCTCCCAATCTTTTTTCACATCCACATTTTTATTACTTTTTCATATCCTGGTTGCACACACAGAAAATGAACTTTGATGTCAATGAACAGTGAGCATTTGATTTCATAAAAGTCCAAATGTTGCATTGGAGTTGTTGGAGAATGCACAGCAGTAGCTCATCTCAACAACCATCATCAAACACTGCCAATAAGTATTCTGCTGGAGCAAAGCTTTCAGTCAAACTAATCCTTCTTTCTGCACTACGTGGTATTGTTATTGCCTTTTTTTTCAGTGGACATGCTGAATAAATCTACGTATTTTTTTTAATACACAAAGTTATAGTATTCAAAATATAAAACGCCACATTCCAATAAATTTTACAAGTTTGAATTAAGGAGAACCGCCTCATTTCCAGAAATGGGCTTAAAATGTCCACAGAAAAAAAAAAAAAAAAAAAAAAAAAAAAAAATCGGAGGGGTAAGGGAGATGGGCAACAGGACATATGACAATGCAAAGCGTCAATATGAGATTAACATTTTAACATTACACCGAACTGAAGCTGTCCATTATAAATCACAACAATCTGATTATCACAATCACTCATTTCCTCCACTCTGTAATTTTTTTTTTAAAAACAGATTTAATTGAAGAGCCACACAGACTGCCGGGTTAATCACTTGTTTTTCTATCTTATAAATGTCAGAAAAACAAGGATGTGATATGTCCACCTGAGTTTGGGTGAGATAAACTACCTGGCACCCCATAGCTCCTCTCTCCGTCTCTCTCATTAACAATGCATCATCACAGCAATGACCGTCTGTGGCGCTGAGCTGGGCTTACCAAAGCGGGGTTCATGCATAGAATCATTTTTCTTCCTCTGTCAGCATCTAATGTGTGTGTTGTGCTGGGCTCAGTTTACTTTGATAGCTGGACTTTTATGTACATTGCTCCGAAGAAGCCTCTTGATTGGCTTCATTCACTGCTGCCTCTACTGTTTCTGTTTTTTACCCATCTGCTTCCAATGGAGCAAAGCTTGAGTTAGCCCTGAGATCTTTTGGGAAATTACCAATTTATTCAAATTCAGCAGAGGGTGGAGGCAGGCAAAGAATGGTGTTCCCTCAGGTTTTAATTAAAAATCCCCTGTCAACACGCATTTGAGTTTTTGGACAGTTAGGTTGTTTTTCTTTTTTTGTTTTTTTTTGTTGGCAGAATTGCATTGCTAAAATCATTTTCCACAATAACTCTGTTGAGCTTTTAAGGGTTGGGAGCATTTGCACATTGTTCTGGGCATTTAATGTAGTTATAAACACACACACCACATAAAACAGAGAAACAGATCAAATACAAAACATTGAGATGGTGAAAAAAAAAAAAAAAAACCCTGAAAAACCCATCCTCATTTTAGGAAACCCAACCCAACCTGCCGTTTTCTGCAGGTAACAGGAAAACTAAAATGACTGAGACGGCAATAATACCATGTTAGCTTGTTGATAATGCTCAGTGACACAAACATACATACTGTACAATGATGCAGTTCATATGCATTCTCAAATTGTATATACAAGGAGTTTCCAATAGAGGAGATAGAGACAAAAGTCAAAGACAGGCTCGGTGGGAGATGAGGCACAATGTTCAACAGTTTTGTGTTGTTTTTTTTTTTTCTTCTTGATTTCTTATATCTGCTTGCACAAAAGCAAGTGGTAGTAAAATGTTTGAATATAGCTTTCATGACAGTTATATTACATCCGTTTCCTTACTTAACACGGACGTCCCTGTTTCACCAAAGCAAGGAGTGGAACATCCGTCTCTCCTGGCATCAGAAACCACATCACCTCACTTGGGAGGGAGTTTGGCTGCATGAAAGCTGCAGCCAAAAAGATATTTTTTTTTAGTGTAAACAAATGGGATGTAAAATCTAGCAACATGCCAAAGCTAGACTTCAAATCTGATTCTGTCCACTCTACAAAAACATCTCTATCAGAGCTCTCTCCCGGTCCAAATGTGAAGAAGGATTATTGTTTTCTCTGCCTGTGCAAATGGAGCTTTGTACTTTCTATGGATCAGTTCAAGCAGAGCTGAAAAGCAGGGTGATCTATTGACACTAAACACATCTGTGCACCTGCAGCTTTAGCATTACACATGAAAAAAAGTTTCAATACTGAGTGGTCTCGAATTTAAAAAAAAACAACAAAAACTTTCCAGTGATTGTTAATGAGTCAGTTGTGAGTAGATGCCTCCTCCTGAGATTTAAATGTAATCATAATCAAGGAGGAAATGTTAAGATACCCAGCCAGGATCTTAGTCAGTTATGTCTGTACCAAGCCATTGAGATCATCTAAATAAGAAGACGCCAGAATAAGATCACACAACTATTTACAGCATTTGTACATCAACTCCAAACGCATTAGGGCCATTTCTTCAACTGCTCTTTGACTTGGTCTTGTTTAACAATCCTACATGTCAGAGCCGTGCTGTGCCAAGAAACAAGGTACTGTAAATAAAGACTATTAGTGATTCTTAAAAAAAGGTTTAATTAGAATTGCTAATCAATGGCGATCCAAAAATTTTGTTCTTCTGATATTATAATGAAAAAAGTCTCTCTACTATTCTTTTTTTGTTCATTGAAAATCTGGTTTAAAGCACAGCTGACTCACATCGTGACGCCCTCTGTTTTTAGTGAGGGGTATAATTACTCAATTAATCAATTAACTCAGTGGGGTTTGTTGAAGAAAATGTACAAAGTAAAATAACACACTGGAGCAAGTTTCAATGTCAAAACTACTTGAAACTGCTTTATATGATGCTACCTCAAAAGATATTACCCGTTTAAAAAAAAAAAAAAAAGTTTAGTTTTCTACAAGCAGCCAACTGCCTTTAATTCTCAACAAAAAGTAATTTATCTCTGGTCAGCACTTTCCACATGACGTGATGTAGACGGGCCCTGACTTCAACCCTGATGCTTTCACACATGTAGACACAAACAATCAGACATTCAGCAACTGTGAAAAGATAAGAGCAAATGGCATTTATATCAAGGGACAATAAAAGAGAATATGTGTATTAAAATTAATACACAGTTTATTCAGTTGCTTGTAAATAAAAAAAAGAACTTAAATTTATACATTAGAGGGAGATGCAAACTGCAGCCAAATATTATGATGAAGGAATGACAACAATTAGCACTGTACAAATGATAGGGATGACACTAATTGTTACTACTGTTAATGTGTCTCTAGCTGTAACTAAACTGAGATGAAAGACAGGCTGATTGGTTTCAAAACACACAAGTCAGCTATTCCTGTCTTGTGTAATTACTGTCAGCAGTTAGAGAAACCAGGAGCTGAATTTAGAGGCTTTACCACAGCAGTGACTTTGATTCAAAAGAAAGGAGAATGGCCAACACACGGCTCTCTCCACAGGAAAGGTTTGGACAAAATATTACAGTGATAACGTCTGCAGATCAAACATTAATCATCCTGAAAGGTCTTTGGCTATAGCATTTGGCAATTCAACAAAGAAATAAATGCAGACATTGCTGAGGGATGAATTGCAATGCATCAGTCACATGTAGAGATGAAGAAAGCACAGAGAAAAGAGAGAAGAGTGTAACACAGAGGACCTGACTGCAAACACCATGCACCATGGGAGGACCTCTCCTCTGTCCAAACTTATGGATAAAAACACACATACATTCACACATTTACACATTCACACACACCACTCTCTCTCCAAATACCTCCACAAATCCATCTCTGAGCATAGGGAATCAACCAGTCAAGTAAAAAGGTGTGTATTAGTGCAAATGTAAAAATGGATTTTAAAAAACACAGAGCACAATGAAAATGGTCATGCTGCTAATGAGTGAAAGAGGGCAGAGAGAAATAAAGAAACTGTGCCAAGTCTATGCCCCTCACAACATGCAGGATCGAATAAACGCAACAGGTTGCCAGTTTGTGCTTGTAATTAGTCTCCTCCCATTCGAAAACGTCTACCAAGTTCATGCAAATTCTTGTGTCATGCCTGCGTGTTTCTATATTTGTGTTGCGCTTTAAAGGCTAAAAAAGATGAGCCAGCTTGCTTTCCTGTAACTAGAAATACATGTGACACGGTAGTGAAGGGTTTGAAATGCTGGGTGTGTGTGTGCTTGAAGTCAAGTCTTAAAATGTAAAATTTAAAAATCAGCAGCCTAACACATGCAGATATTCATTTATGTGAGTGTGTGTGACGCTAATGTTCGGCGCTGCAAGTAACAGCTTTGGGTTAATAGAGTGCTCACTGCTGTTATATGTATGTATGTGTGTGTGTGTGTGTGTGTGAGTGAGTGAAAGAGTCTGTGTGTCTGTGTGTGTGAGTGAGTGTGTGTGTGTGTGTGTGTGTGTGTGAGACAGTCTGTGTGTGAGGGCACCACTGAACGAAGTTGAAGGACGGGTAGGAAGATGAAGAGGGAGGCAATAATCGGGGAGGTGATGTTAGATGTTTGGATCATTCTGCTTAAAGAGGATTCACATCTTGTTTGACTGGCCCGGCCACGGAGCAGGTTACCTTCTGGGCCACGTCTCTCTCCCACACCCTGAGTGTGTTTGGTTCTTCTTTTGAACAACAAAATCTGGATTCTTGCATTTCTTTTTTTGGTTACAGTCCTCTGTGGCTCTCAGTGTGTTTGGCTCTGATGTCTCTTGGTTGGGCTGGGCTGATTTGGTTCTTGCGGTGTGGGTGAGTTTAGGTTTTGACTGAGCCGGTCGGGCCTCGTACTGAAGATGTGGCAGGAAGACAGGCGGTACTGGTTGGACTGGCAGTGTGGTTGGTTGATGTATAATCAGTGGGTCAAGCCAGAGCTTGTTTCGAGACCTGGGCCACAGCAGTTCTCAGCAGCAGCCATGCTAACTTCACAACTCCATCTTTGATGTTTAACATTTAGAGATTTGCAGTAGATGAATTCAAATGGTAGTTGTCTGACCACCACAATGTTTATGGAGGTTATTGTCACATTTAGGCTGCCAGTGCATCATACTGGTGGAAACACGACATCCAAACTACAGTCAGGAGAAATTCTTCTTCAGTGGTCCTGGGCGGATGCAGTCACAGGATGGAGATAGGAAACAGCTGAGCTCTACCAGAATGCAAATTTCTTCACTATGTCAGTTTGCAGCACCGCGGTTATATTCCCACACAACAGAGAAATAATTTCACTGGTTTCATTTCAAAGCATCAATGCTCCAGCACTGCGACCACTGTGGGTGTCCTGGGATATTCAGAGTTGGGTTGACTTTGTCGCTGGGTGTGTCTGATTGGAAGAATAAATTTTAATACCCACAAGGAAAAGCTGATTAATGTGAGGTGAGGTGTGATTTGGTTGCTTCTGAGTTATTTTGGGTTCTTGTTGTATTTCTGCTCAATGTTTAGCATCTGAACTGGGCAAGAATAACGTTGTTGTTCTGGGTTAGGTCTGCTTGGTTAAGAATCTGGCTCTGGGTTAGAAGTTCAGTCAGTAGAGGTACTAGATTCAGGACAAGCCAGAATGGGATGTGGTTCTGGTTACTTGTTCAGTGGGAACTACTACTGGACTCAGGTCGGGCTTGACTGGTGGTCCGTGGAGCACCGTAGAGGGTCACTGATGCTATGTGGTTATTCTGCATCACCTGGGAAGAGGAAAACAGATAGTGAGTCTTACAAAGGTATGGAGTTGAAATATTCAGAAATAATGTGTTCAAAGAAAATTTCTATTTTGACTTTTGGTTTAAAAACACTGTTTCAATCGAATTGAGGCAGAGCAGTCACAACCCCCAGTTAGCTTTAGATCGTATCTGCAGTTTTAGTCTTGTCTGAATCTGTGACACCAGTCCTGCTCCACATGTATATGCTGAGTTTCCTTTTATCTAATTGTTTTATTACTTCTAGGTGTCATATTTGTGTGCCATGCTGAGAATTGAAAAAGTCATAGCTGCTGTATCTCAGTAAATTTGTAAAGGTGGTTACACATTTTTCTCAGTGTGATACAGCCCTTCAGACAATGAATTAAGGCTCTGTACACATTGTCCAGACTAGTTAAATCTAGAGAGACAAAAGTGTTCTGACCTCAAAGATCATCCTCTGCAGTCCAAAACAGAAAGTAGAGCCGAATGGGTTGGTGTTATTGGCTGACGAGGACCTGTCAAACAAAGGTTTGATACAGAAGCCTTACAGTTTGAATGTTGTATTTGCAAACCAACAACAGCACTGAAATATTACGACAAAGGATCTTAGACTTATGTGAGAAACAGCAGTGATGTGATCTATATTACAGTATCTATGCATGTGTATGTTCTTTACCTGTGGAGCACTACAGGTTTCTCCATCGGGTGACCCAGAACTTCCTGAATCTGATCCCACTGAGAGAGAAACAAAAAGAGTTAACAGATAATTCAAGAAAAATAATTTATGGGAGTAGATGAAACATTTTTTTGTCAACTGTTTAAAAACTAAATAATTTGAGGTCTGTGCTTGTATCAACCTCATGGTGATGGTGTTAAAAGAACGTAAGAACATATTTTGAGTAGCAGGATACATTAAGACAGGGGCAAATTAAAAAGTTACTTTCGTGAACATTCAAGAAATGTTTGGCTAACATATAAAACATTATGAAATGAAGAAAACTTGATATATTTATGGCATGAAACATAGGGTTCACTGGTGATGCAGAGACCAGGTTTTAGCAGGAGTCATGCCAGAGAAGAATAACTGAAAATTCACAACTCTATAATCCCAAACAAAGACGTACAAAGTCCTAAATTAGAAAGCTGCACTCACTGAAAAAGACACAAGGCCGAGAGACCACGTCAGGTCACTATGATCCTAGCATGGTGCCATCGTGAAATTCTAACAGACCATTGACATCTAGCAAAACTGTTATTATGAATTCTATCCATAACTGACCTTACTATAGGTGGTTAAGATGCAGTCCTCTGTCTGAGAATCAGTTCCTTCTGAAGGGCATGGAGACAAAAGCAGAAAAACAGACATAAGTGAAACAAGGATTAAGAAAAAAAAAAATCACATTTATTTATGCTAGGACATGAAAGTCTCATTCTTGATGAGATGGGTTTGTGACTGTCTGTTTGGAAATGTCTCACCTTTTTTGATGACTAGTGGAATCTTAAAGTCACATCGATGATATCTGCGATGACAGAGAAAACACAATCAAACAACGTTTCAAACAGGGACAGAAATGGCTGAGGTAAAAATAGACAAATATTGTCAGCTGTTGTGGAGAAAGGGAGCTAAAATGAAACTGGGTCAAGGAAACATAAATAAATAAAATCACAGAGAAATGCGTTGTCTAGACACTAAGATATTTACATATTGAAGTTATAATGTCCAGGGTAGTTGGTATGGAGGACAAACTTCTTAACCAGGTGAGATGTCGAGTCAAACAGGATATCCTGAAAAATAAAAAAAACATGATCATCAAGATGACCTTTGCACTGTGTGTTTGACCAGACCAGCTCACTACAGTCGTATCTACTGCAAATACTGGGTGAGTAAATGCAGACAGAAGCAGGACTACACCCCGACACCCATTCATATGAGGGAACTGTGCAGCGGGACTCAAGCTTCTTGTTCAGAGGATCTAAACAGTGGCTGCAGATGTATCTGCATCTTGTTTACTTTCCCAACCCAGACTGTCCAAACAGGCCTGGGAAATTAAGAAAGAACCCCTGAAGGTCACTGGCTGAAAATATTTTATACCAAAGTCACAGACAGACGTGGTATAGACACAGATTTGAATAGATTTCGTTCAAACGTCAAAATGAGAGGATATCTCTGTGTGATACAACTGAAAACTCACACATAATTCACATTATCTGAGTTTTCTCACCTAAAGTACATTAGCATGAACAAGCTAGTTGTCCAACTTTACGGCTCAATTTCTAAATTACATCAGACATGCTCAAGGCTTCCCAAGTTGGTCTGTGGCTTTAAAGCAGCCACAACTAGAAGTACAAACACCCAGAAAATAACTATGTACATACAACAATATAAAACAGACACAAAAGCATACAAATGTATACACACACACACACACACACACACAAACAAGTCTAGGCTGAGCTCACGTACCACTCCAAGGGTGAAGTAATTGAAGAAGTAGTCATTACATTTAGAAGGAACCTGCTTGTGAGGTGATGGAGAGTGGATCTTCATCTAAAATAAACAACACATGATTGTTTGATCAGATGGTCTATTCTCTTTAGCCAGTTAGAAACATTTACGTTGAATATGACATATGATTTGTTGTGAAGTCACATTCGAGAGGTGAAAATATTGAGAACTGGACACATTTAAGTGAGTAAAAGGTGACAAAAAAAAACAAAAAAACAACAATCAATCAACTGTCAGAGTGATAGAAGATAGATCTTATAGTGAAGATATAATAAATCATTCTAACAACAGCGACAGCTCTAACAGCTGAACATGTAGTACAAGAGTTCCCACCTTGTCCTCAGACTTGTAGAAGACTTTATGTGGTGAGCCCAGAGCACCCAGTACATCCTGACAGGAATCCCCAAAGTAGATGCTCCTCTCTAGGGACCTCACTTTAGCATCAGTCATCCCACCAGGACCACAACCTGCACTCACACAGTGCAAAACAACAAATGATCAATGACAAGATAGCATAAACAGTATGGGTAGGCTTGTAACGTGGTGGTTAGTAATATTATTGGGTTATGTTAAGTTGGGTTATCTTTTTTATTTCTATTTTATTCAGTTACTTTTTTATCTATTTATTTATTCATCCCTTTGCACTCTATATTCTTACTCTGAATTGTAATTGTACATTATTTTGTTTTAATGTTACTGTCATTGTTACTATTTTTGTTACAGCTTGTACTGTTCTTTTGTACAAATCTCTGTAGTTTTGGGAAATCTACAATGTATAACTGTCACTATGGAAATACATTGTGTACTTCCCCCTTTTTAGGAACAAAAAAAACAAAACAGTTTTTGTATTAAATCAAATTTATTACACTGCACTGCTGCCACATGATTGGGATAACTGCATGAATAAGCAGGTGTTCCTAATAAAGTGCTTGGTGAGTGTAGATACACATATCCCAGCCAGGTACTTATAACTAAGTCTGTGTTTGTCTTTGAAAGGGTTACATTAAAAATAAGGAAAAATACATTGGGACTGGAAACGTGTCGATTCGTCTCATAAATTTTGCAGTATTTCAATACTTGCTGTAAATACTGCAGTCCCATCCATTCCTCAAGACACACAGACATAGAGACATATGTTACCTGCAGTGAGAAGGCGGAGTTTGAGCCCCAGAGGCCCTGCCCGATCTCTCAGGACATCCACACACTCTGCATAGATGTTGCCAAGGAAACAAGCCAACGGCATTGCCGGAGCTCTGAGGACATAGAGAGGGGAATGTTTGTGCTCGCTATGCCTGGGCTTTCTTAATTCTGAGGTTTTTCTTGTGGCTTTTTGTTGTTGGTTTCTTTGTTCTCCACCCATTTGTTCAGTGTTGATACATGAAATAAGGATGTCAGGTGATGTTGCTCATGAGAGCATTATAATTTAAATAATGCTTACAAACTAATATGTAACAAATTTGCTTTAAAACCTCTCTCTCTTTATATATATATATATATATATATATATATATACATATATACACACATACATGCTACAAATGTATTCACTTTGAGTAACATTTAGTTTGTGCATCTGCATGTGTGTGTATGTACCTTGTTTCCTGCAGGTTGTTGCCAGTGTAGATGTGCATCCTCTTGACCATGGCCCCGTGTGGAATCTGCAGGGAGGCCAAACCCAGGGCAAAGTTAGGCTGCCAAGGCAAAACAACTGGGAGTAGTACATGACTGGAGTACATTGTGTTTGTAAGTCCAAAATACATATCAAGAAGACACAGTAAAACAAACGAGTGTTTTCTAGAACGCTATTTTGACAAGTACAGAAAGATGTGATAAAACATGAAGCACAGAGGAGTAACGTGTCATGTAACTCACTGACTGACCTAAATACCTGTGTTCAAGTGGGAAAAACTCCACTATGTCCACTATGGCATAGTGGACATAGTGGAGTAATCCAATTTAGGTCTCTATCAGATAAGAGTGTTTATTCTGAGAGAGGTCCAACAACGAATCAACACTCATTGTGACTTTATGTGCTGATTTTTTGTGTATTTCCAAGTTGCATTCATCAGCACCCAGGCGACAGACATGCTAAAACAGCTGCAGATGGTTTATTCTCAATTTAATTTAGAGCAAAGGCTTGGAGGTTTTAAGAGACTTGCAAAAAAAAAAAAGATCTTAAGCATTATAAGGTTTCTACACTGTGCCAGTTGTGTCCTAAAAAACTTGGCTTACAGAGAATCTCAGTCATCCATTTGTCATCAAATACACTCATGTCAAACAGGAAGTGTATTACAGCTGAGTGTTGAGATTTAGACAAAGAAATGCAAATATTATAACTTGCACTAGAAGCTGAAACTACCATGTTTGTACATGCACACAACTACAGACGACAAGCAAGCACAAGCTGTTGTCCCATGAAACAAACAAAACCATTCAACCAGTTCAACATGCAGCTCATGATATACTGGAATGCTAATGAAACAATCAATACTATAATAGCACAGATGTGTTGGAGCAGCATGTAGTAGCCAAAGCCAGACAGCTAAATAAAAAAAATGAGATACTCTGTAAACTTGTCACTGGAATATGAAGTCAGCTGAGCTGTATTAAACTTTAAAGCCATCACTGTATGGTCTTCACAGTAGCAAGCTGCAGAAAGGGACAGATGTCAAAGCAGCTGGTTCATGACATACACCACCCAAGACATCCACAGCTGCAGTACAACATCTGCAAGAGACTGTCTAATTATACAAACCTCAATTCAAAAACTAAGACAAAAATCTAACACTTTTCCGTATCCAGCAGCATGTAAAAACATGCAGGTTGCAGATTGTGTGAAAATCTGACTATGTCATATTGTCATGAAAATCTTGACTATTACTGCTGGGTATCTCTGTTGTCTTGAAGAATTTAATAATGAATTCATGTTACCTGAGCAAGCACAGGACCCTGAATTCCCTACTACAGTCAGAATATTTATTTCTTACATAATACTGCAATGACTCTTTGACATCTCTACAGGATAACACTGGAATTCGTATGTGGCGCATTTTGAGATCTGTCATACTGTAGTTCCTTTCAATGTTTTAGAAAATCTGCCAGGAAGGTTTTGCATCCTGGGGCATGATGAGGATCACATCTCTAAGCATTTTGGATCACTGACATCCAAGAAAAAAATCTTCTGTGCCCAAGATTAAACAAGCAACAAGGCAATCATTCTCAACATGCATTTGGTATCTTTATTCAGCCTCACAATATTGATCATCTCGATGAAACAGCATCAAGCTGACGGGACGTGCTCGGAGAAAACACAAGGTTTGACCTCAGACTGTCCATATGAAGGGTAATCACTTAAATTCACAAGGCTGGCTTGATTCCGCTGGGATGTGGAGAAACGGCCACTCAGCTCTTCTTTAATTGGCTGACAAGCAAATCAATGAAAACATTCTCACCTCGTATTTTGGAGCTTCGTTCCAAGAGTCCAGTTGGAAGGAGAAAGAAAGTCCTCGAAAGTTGAGATGGAACAACTGCTCTGCAGCATTGTAAACTGAAGGGAGAGAGGGGGGTTTCATAAAAAAAAAAGAATTCATAAAAGAGAAAAGCAAGATCAAAATGTTGGTTCATTTGTACATGTGTTTTGTTTTGTTAAGTACCTCCAGGGTGCGTAGCTCCAAATGACTGGTCTATTTGCTCTATTGTGGGGGCAATGGCCTGAGAGTTGAAATGAACTCCACTGTAAAACAAAAAACACACAGAGTCAGCTTTAAATCTATTAATATTCATACAGGCTGTACTGCATTAGTGGAGGAGGTATTGCCAATGATAATCCTACACACATAGTTAATGCAGCCAAACACCATTCACTAAGTAGCTGCAGTCCTGTCTGTGAGGAGCCATGACTTCTAGTAGTTCTATAGTAATAGTTGAAAGTGGCCTCTGTGGCAACATACAATGTAGTAACATATAACAATAACAGCTAAGAATCTAACATGATTTTCATTGTGGCTAAATCAACTGTTATTCAGCAGGTTTGTAAACTCCTTCAACTTCATATTTCTACTCACCAGTATTTCAACTTGACTTTGCTCAGGTCGTACACTTCGATCACCTGTCACCCACAAAGATGAAAAACGTAAGGGCAGAAAACAAATGGTTAGTTCAATGTCATTAAACAAGGCCAGGGGAGTTTTATGTATCTTTGCTAATTATCTAGAAGGAGAAGTGGGAGCAATTTTTTCAGCTGTGGTAAGCTGCTACTGCTAATTAACTGTGGAGAAATACCACGGCCCTCTCATATCTAGTGTGCAACTCAAAGTTCACTCAATCCCTGTTACGATTTCTCTCCAATATTTACTATTATATATAATAATAAATACCTTATTTAAAAGGCAGTCGCTTTAACATTTTTTGGAACTGGACACACACTGATTATCTCTCTCTCTTTAAGTGTCTTTGAGTTTGAGTCTAAGTGGCAGCACACCACTGGTTCTGTTGCACAGTTTTTCTTTCATATTACTCACCAGTTAAAATAAACAATTTTTACCTTGAGTCTCTGATTTGTGGCATCAAACAGCAGTTTAATCCCATCCTGAGTCAAGTTCAGTATGAGGTCATGGCTGAGTGGCGTCTGGAGGGGATATAAACAAACTAATTAATTAACAGATAGGCGGGGGGGTACGTGCCCTGCACAGATATGCAGATGAGCAGACAATCAGAATCAGATGCTTTTGAAGACGACTTAAAGGAAATTGGACACATACCAATGCTATGACTGCATATATATTTTACATCAGACAAAAAATGGACAATTTCATTGACAGTTTCATGTGGTGTTAATAGTAACCATTGCTTCCAGTTGCAACTGGATCAGTCTCACACCTAAGTGATTATGTTGCGAAAAGAACCTCCATGATCAACATTTAGCTATTGAATCTGGAGAAATAATTTAAATGTAGCCTGAAACTCCACTTTTAAGGCTGAGGCAGATAAAGATATATTGGCTGGTATCCCCTTTTCACATACACACATAACCTCAACTATTTTCTTTTTAACAAAAAATCCCTTAAATTGTGACTAAATTAGTTACTAATCTGGACGAGTTATGGTTAAAATATAAACTGTTCAGTGCTCTCTGGTTACCTCAAACACACTTATTTCTTATCAACTCATATACACAGTAATATAAGGTAATATACAGTAATTCAACTGAAAATATTGTTGTAAAACAACTTGTATTACTACAGCCATACACAAAAGCCTCAAAAATCTTGCAAAACTTGTGCTTCAGCCCAAAAGGGGATTCTTATACAAGCTGATTACCTTTTTTTTTGTGCATGTGAGAGTGAGTGGGACCACATAATAGTTTGGCCATCTTACCTGTTCACTGTATAGCACCTGGACATTTTTGATGATGCGGCAGTGTTTTTGTAGAATAGAGATGGCCTGGGCCAATGGCATCCCTGAAAACACAGTATCTCTCATTTAGCCTTAGGACTCACCAGTAAAATTGTAAAATTAGGATGCAAGGAAAATAATTTCAAATGTTGTTTTTAACATTAATGGATGGCTCATAGTCTCATTCTCCTTCTCCACATGATATTTTTGAGTTATGTTCTTTCAAAATGTTGTTGTAGTACCCACCTAAGGCGAATTCCCATTGCTCATTTCCTAGTGATCTCTCAGGCACCACCTCCAGATCCAGCATTGGCAAGTAGTTGGGGGGCAGCTCACCTCACCTCAAGACACAGTGGGACCCTCTGAGGGACCCTTTCTCTCTGCTTGTCTCTACCTGATTACAGTACTCTGTCACAATAGTTTCAGATGGCTACTTTAATTCATAACTCCACTTCTTTTTCTAAAGCCACAAAATTCATGAGTGTGAGCATCAAGCAGCTACTCAGTCTATAAGGTACAGTAAAAAGTGAACTCTTTATCACATGTCATATGTTCTTGACATTAAAATTGTACCAATGAAGAATGACAAAAAATAGTTAAATATTTAAAATGATATCCACAAAGCCACCTATGGCGGAACACCTAAGGCTTAAAGAAATACATATGTTTTAAATTACAATCTAACAAGTTACCGAGCAGAGGCTGACAGCTTGCACACAAACAAATTACGCAACCTGTCAGCAAACCTACAACGCACAAGGCCAGCTGTCAGTTAACCTCCTGCTCGATTGTGTGGTTTAAAAATCGATACTGAAAAAAAACTCCCAACTTGAATTCACTTAATTTAAAGTCAAGAACAAAACAAGCAGATAGATCAAACTTGTCCAACAGGCTTCAATATAATAAGTGCTTGTTCGGCTACAGTGCTGTGTCCTGTGTATCCAACGGACCAACAGAGCATATGATCCAGTGACGAACAGCTACAAAATAGAGGTACGGAAATAATTGCTCCAAACCCGACTGTTCCTACTGTTAGCTGTCGTTATCTGTCACTGTCGGGCGGTTACGAAAGCAAGCCTTGACAACAAGACTATTTCTTTGCGCTATGGGCTAACGTTAGCTGTCGAGCTACTTGCCCTTTTCACGTACTGGCAATTAAGAATAAATATAAATTACGTGTATGCAGAAAAAAAAATCTAATTTCGAGACACAGAAAATTAATACTGCGGTTCAGACTGGCACGACATAAACAAAGAAAGCACGCCAAGCCGTCGGCTGCCTTTGCTGTTTTTCTTTCTTCCTTCCACCGAAGGTTCAAGCTTTTGGAGCTAGCTCTTCTGTCGCTAGTGCGCAAATTCAAAGTCCTAGCGATGACACGCTTCCCGTGTTACTCATAAACTCGTCAGCCGGTAAATGCCCACCTCGTCCCTTTTTCGGGTTTAATGTATCTTCTATGTCAGGAGCAGATAAGAGCAACACAGTGTCCAAACAACGGCAACTTCAGGCATCAACAACAGCCAGCAGGATCAGCTGATAATTCGACTTCCTGTGTACGACGCAGGTTCTCGGTTGACGTGATGACGTTTTGGTCAGCTGACACAGTCGACGAAGAAGTGGCGGTAAAGACCCTTTGGTCAACTTGAAGTTTACCCAAATTTATTTTAAGAGCATTTTTTTTTAAAATATATATGTATATGGGTATATGAATCTAGTTAAACGCAAACAATAACAGGGACAAATATTTTTTCAAATGTTATTATCTATTATTGTGTCATTAAAGTGATAGTTCGGGTAATTTTGACGTGGGGTTGTATGAGGTAGTCATGCATAGTCAGTGTATTACCTGCAGCAAGGGCGTAGGTTTGCATATGGACGTTTGGGAGGACAGAATTGTCCATATCAATGTTTGAATGAACTCGTTTGCACTATGTTTGAAGTGAAGTCATATGAGATGATTTTAATGTGCACTGCAAGAGGCTACGTCTCCAAGACAACCGATTTAGGCATGCTAGCATTTGATTGACTGAAGGGTCGGGGGCTATCTGAAGACTCACGCAATGTGAGAATATCACAGTAGTACAAAACGTCAACAGAAAAAAATAAAAATAAAAATAAAAATAAAAATAAAACGTCACCAGAAGAATGTGAACTGCAAATACGTGGCCACGTTAGCTAGCTACTATTATGACATACTATTCTATATCGTTTTTATGCCTGACTATACTTATGCCTTATTAATCTATGATGTTTTTATGCCTTATTATACCATGACATTTTTTTTGCATTACTATTCTTTGACTTTTTATGACTTACTATGACGTTTTATGCCTTGCTATATTGTGGCGTTTTCTTATGCCTTACTATACTATGACTTTTTATGACTTACTATGACCATTTTATGCCTAACTATTCTATGACTTTTTATGACTTACTATGACTTTTTATTATTTACTATGTTCTTTTTATGACATACTATACTATGACATTTTTTATGCCTTACTATACTATGACGTTTTTATGCCTTATTTTACTATGACGTTTTTATGCCTTCCACCGTCCTACTATATCCTCAGGTGACGTCAGCAGCTCCCCATCCCCACTGTAAACAGTGTGAGCGAGTTGCCGCCTTCCCCCCCCTGAGGCGCCGGACGGTTTGCCAGAACCTTTTTGGAGCCGATCGATAGTCTTCCTCCATTGTCTCACCGAGCTCCTCCCACGTCCGAGTTTTTGCCTCAAAAACTGCCGCGGCTGCACTCCGCTTGGCCCACCGGTACCAGTCAGCGGATTCCCGCGACCCACAGGCCAACCACGCCCTGTAGGCCTCCTTCTTCAGCCTGACGGCTTCCCCCACCGCCGGTGTCCACCAGCGGGTACAGGGGTTACCGCCACGACTGGCCCCAGCTACCTTGCGGCCACAGCTTGCAACAGCCGCCTCAACAATAGCAGAGCGGAACAAGGCCCATTCGGACTCAATGTCCCCCACTGCCCTCGGGACGCGGTCGAAACTCTGCCGGAGGTGTGCGTTGAAAATCATCTTGACGGGTTCTTCCGCCAGGTTTTCCCAGCAGACCCTCACAACCCGTTTGGGCCTGCCAGGTCTGCGCGGCGTCTTCCCCCGCCATCTGATCCAACTCATCACCAGGTGGTGGTCGGTTGACAACTCTGCTCCTCTCTTTACCCGAGTGTCCAAAACATGCGGCCGCAGGTCTGATGATACGACTACAAAGTCGATCATAGACCTTCGACCTAGGGTGTCCTGGTGCCATGTGCACCTGTGGACATCCTTATGCTTGAACATGGTGTTAGTTTATGGCCAAAGCTGTGACTAGCACAGAAGTCCAATAACTGAACGCCGCTCGGGTTCAGATCAGGCAGGCCGTTCCTCCCCACCACACCCTTCCGGTCACGCTGTCATTGCCCACCATGAGCGTTGAAGTCTCCCAGTAGGACAATGGAGTCCCCTTTCGGGGCACTTTTCCAGCACCCGTGCCCAAGGACTCCAAAAAGGGCGGGTAGTCTGAACTGCTGTTCGGTGCATAAGCACTGACAACAGTCAGAACCCGATCCCCGACCCGAAGGCGCAGGGACGCAACCCTTTTGTCCACTGGGGTAAACTCCAGTGTACAGGCAGAGAGCCTGGGGGACACCAAAAAGCCCACCCCGGCCCTCCGCCTCTCACCCGGAGCAACTCCAGCAAAGAGGAGAGACCAGCCCCTCTCAAGGACTTGGGTTCCGGAGCCGACGCTATATGTCGAGGTGAGGCCGACTATATCTAGCCGGAATCGCTCGACTTCTTCCACAAGCTCCCGCTCCTTCCCCGCCAGAGAGGTGACGTTCCATGTTCCAAAAACCAGTTTCCGTAACCGAGGATCAGACCGCCAAGGCCCCCGCCTTGGTCTGCTGCCCAATCCACAATGCACCGGATCCCTCTGACTCTTACTGCAGGTGGTGAGCCCACTGGGAGACGAACCCATATTGTGGTGTTTTCTTATGCCTTACTATACTATCACTTTTTATGACATTTTATGCCTAATCATGCTATGACTTTTTTATGCCTTATTATACTATATCATCTTTATGACGTTTTATGCCTTACTATACTATATCATTTTTATGACATTTTTTGCCTAATCCTACTATGACATTTTTATGCCTTATTATACAATATCATCTTTATGACATTTTATACCTCACTATATTGTGTCATTGTTATGCCTTATTATACTATATCATCTTTATCACATTTTATACCTCACCATACTATGATGTGTTGATACTTTACTAAACAATGATTTTTTCACATAGCTACATGCCGGAGCTTTGACCACTGGCTACAGCTGTTGTCTATCAGTGAGAAGGTCGTGGGTTCAAATCTCAGGGGAGGACTCCTTTTCTGTGGAGTTTCCATCTTCTCCCATACTTACTAACATCCACATTAGGTTAATTGGCTACCCTTAATGTCTTTTTATAACATGCTATACTATGACATTTTTATGACTTTTTATGCCATACTATACTATGTCATTTTTTATAAATTTTTTGCCTTACTATACTATGTGATTTTTTTTGACATTTTTATGCCTTACTATATTACTTCATTTTTATGACATTTTCTGCCTTATTACACTATGTCATTTTGATGACATACAATACTTTATAATTTTTTTAATACATTTTTTGCCCTACTATACTATGTGATTTTTTGACATTTTTATGCCTTACTATAGTATGACATTTTGTATCACATTTTTATGCCTTACTATACTACTTCATTTTTATGACATTTTTTGCCTTACTACACTATGTGATTTTTATGCCTTACTATACGATGACATTTTCATGACATTTTATGCCTTACTACACTGTCATTTTTAAGCCTTACTATATTATGACATTTTTATCAAATTTTTATGCCTTACTATACTATGTCATCTTTATGACATTTTATGCCTTACTATACTATATAATTTTTATAACATTTTATGCCTTACTATACTATGACATTTTTATGACATTTTATGCCTTACTGCACTTTGTCATTTTTATGCCTTACTATACTAGTTTAATCCGAATGATTTTTTTCACTTATATACATGTTGGAGCTTGGACCAGTGGTTAGAGCTGTTATCTTTCAGTCAGAAGGTCGTGTGTTCAATTCTCAGTGGAGGACTCCTGTTCTGTGGAGTTTCCATATTCTCCCATGATTACTAATATCCATATTAGGTTAATTGGCTACCCATAATTACTTTTTATGCTATACTATGACATTTTTGTTGACTTTTTATGCCTTACTGTACTATGTAATTTTTATGACATTTTTATGCCTTACTATAGTATGAAATCTTTATGACATTTTATGCCTTACTATACTACATACTTTTTATGACAATTTATGCCTTACTACACTATATCTTTTTTATGCCTTAGTATAATATGACATTTTTATGACTTTTTATGCCTTACTACACTGTGTCATTTTTATGCCTTACTATACTGTGTCATTTTTATGCCTTACTATACTATGTCATTTTTGTGACATTTTATGCCTTACTACACTATGTCATTTTTATGACTTGCTACACTGTCATTTTTATGCCTTACTATACTATGACATTTTTATCAATTTTTTATGCCTTACTATACTATATAATCTTTATGACATTTTATGCCTTACTATACTATATCATTTTTATGACATTTTTTGCCTAATCCTACTATGACATTTTTATGCCTTATTATACTATATCATCTTTATGACATTTTATGCCTTACTATACTATGACATTTTCATGACATTTTATGCCTTACTACCCTTTGTCATTTTTATTCCTTATTGTACTATATCATCTTTATGACATTTTATACCTCACTATATTATGTCATTTTTATGCCTTATTATACTATATCATAATTTTTTATGACTTTTTATGACTTTTTATGCTATACTATACTACGATGTTTTAATACTTTACTACACAATGATTTTTTTCACACAGATTCATGTCAGAGCTTTGACCAGTGGTTAAAGCTGTAGTCTTTGAATCAGAAGGTCGTGGGTTCATATCTCAGAAGACGGCTCCTTTTCTGTGGAGTTTCCATGTTCTCCCATACTTACTAACATCCACATTAGGTTAATTGGCTACCCTTAATGACTTTTTATGCCATGCTACACTATGAAATTTTTATGACTTTTTATGCCATACTATACTATATCATGTTTTAATACATTTTTTTCCTTACTATTCTATGTGATTTTTTATGACTTTTTATGCCATACTATACTATATCATGTTTTAATAAATTTTTTGCCTTACTATACTATGTGATTTTCTTATGACTTTTTAGGCCATGCTATACTGTCATTTTTGTATATATTTTTTGCCTTACTATACTATGTGATTTTTTATGACTTTTTATGCCATACTATACTATATCATGTTTTAATACATTTTTTTCCTTACTATTCTATGTGATTTTTTATGACTTTTTATGCCATACTATACTATATCAT